TTTGTATTTTTGGTAGAGATGGGGTTTCACCAGGTTGCCCAGGCTGCCCTTGAACTCCTGAGCTCAAGCAAATCACCCGCCTTGGCATCCCAAAGTGTTGGGATTACAGGCGTGAGCCACTGTACCCCACCTAAGATATTCTTTTAGAAAGAGAAAGAACAATACATTTCTTCATTCCTTATCATTGAGTTATTCTTTAATTGACAAAGACAAAAATTATCCCCTGGGCTAGAGTGACCAAACTTTAAAAATTGCCTTTGATATAGGACACTGTTGGAGAATTCAGCAATTTGAAACACATTTTACCAGCTAGTTCTCCTTTCTCCATATAGGTATTTACCCTCCCAAAGATCTCCAGTGAGTTAAATGTATTTTATCCAGATGGAAATACTGTGGCCTTTCCTCCGGTGGGTTAGTTTACCTAGCACAAAAACAGGCACTTGACAGTTTCTCAACAAGTGCTTGCTGAATGAAATAAAATAAAATAAAATAAAATAAAATAAAATAAACCCATAAAGGAAGGAAGGAAGGAAGGAAGGAAGGAAGGAAGGAAGGAAGGAGGAGGAAGGGAGGTACAGACTAACTGATCCTGCTTCACAGCACATATTCTGCAATTTTTTGAACTTCTTTAAAGGGGAGGAACTATCCATTTATTTTCAATTCAGCTCTATCCTTTTGGCTCTGCATTTTCTAAATAAATGACAGCTCTGCCATGGTAAAAACATATACTGATAACTATGATGATGAGTCAGTCCTGTCCCACTTTTTTTTGGCACAGTGTCCTTACCCTTATAAGATGTGATGGGGAGACCCCTTCCAGATCTAGTATTCTGTGGAAGATAGAACTAAAGAGCAAATACACTAGCCCAGTTGGGGAGACATGGGAAAGCCTTCAGGGAGTTGGAGAGCAGTTTTCTAGGGAGTTGCAGAACTTCTCAGTTTTTCTGCTGGGAATTAAAAGCAACTGATCGCATTAGCTTAGCCATGTTAGAAACCTTCATTGTGCATCCTCTCCCCACGCCCTGGAATCCTCTGGAGAAGACCCACAAGGCTGTCTTGTGGAGGGTCCACCAGAGGCAGAGAAAATCTGGCAAGAGTTTGACAAGTTGTCATAGAGCCTGGGGAAAAATAAGGGAAAGCTCATTAGTTCCAACCTTTTGAAGGCAGCTGGACTGGAGGACTGGCACAGGCTTGCCCCCAAGCTCTGCTGACATTTGGTTCCTTTAGGGAGCAATAGCTGGTTCCAATGTCCTGAGCTCAATTACTGAAACTAAGATGAACCATGTGACCACAGCACTGTGTTTTCAATTATTCTCTCTCCCTTCCTCTCTCTCGGTGCCAGGCCTGGAGGGAAGGCAATCTCCCACAGAAGTCCAATTCTGGCTTCTCTGCTACAGCTCTTTTGCAATTGTTCTCTTCTTCCTTAAAAAAAAAATTTCCATAATGACAAGGCTCATTTTGAAAACTGCCTTCACTCTTAACCAAAGGATTAATTCCTTGCCCCCTGGTTCATTGCCATCTCCCATCCCATGGGCCCTGCCATCCCACATGAGAGCCTAGGTTATGAAAGTGGTGATTCTCTTCAGAATAGCTTATTTTTTCAAAGCTGTCGGTACTCATCAGACACTCCTGCAAATGGTACATTGGGATTAGCACAGTTTCCACCAAGGAATTTGATTCCTCTGTTCTCTTAAATGCTACATGCAGCCAACTATTCCACCACTGAGTGAAGCACACAACCTTACACCTAGCCCCAAAGGTCCCCAAATTTTTTTTGGTCCTGGAAAATGCCCAGTGAGTGACCTCGCTATTGCTGGGACAGTTATTGCACATTGGAAGAAGAGGTAGAAGAGAAAGGGAATCGGGTTTGCATTCCAAGAACCCATGCAGACTGTGGCAATTCTTGGTGGGACAAGAATGCAAGAGGCTGTTATACGAGAGCCTGGCACTGGGGCATGGAGGGGGTAGAGTTGAGGCCTTGACTGGCTATGACTGGCTTCTCTCCTAGGCTTGGGGTGGGATAGGAGAGTTTCAAAAATCCTCTTGGCCCTTGGATGTCACTGTTTTCCATGCTTTATGCCAGCAACGGCAGTGAGAAGAGCCACTATTCCAGGAGGGTTTTTTTAAAAAAAGCAAAAAGAAGAGTCTATTTGTGTGCATAACTGCATAGGTTGATGTGGTTTCAGACATGGCTGGATCTGGATGCTCATGTCTGAACTCAGTCCCTCTCAGATTTTCTCTCTGTCCTCCTTCTTTATCTCTGTCTCTCTCCCCACCTCTATGAGTGCTGTACCTTCTGTGTTGGCTTCACTCACAGGCAGCCCCTCTACAAGGTGGACCTCAGCATCCCCATGTTTATATCTTTCCTGTTTAGCACCAGCAAAGTCCGGAAGGATTTTAACACAGCAATGATTATCTTACAAATTTCCAAATGCCTAATGGACCAGTGTTAGCTGTGACCAACACACACACACACGCACATACACACACACATCTTTCCCCATGAAACCCTGGTGAACTATGGGAACTCCTAAGGAACTGATCAAAATGGAAAGAAGTTTGGATATATTAATATTTATAGCGACATTGGTGTGGAGAGTCACTAGTTTTGGGAACTGGAATTGGCAGGATGCAGAGAAACTCTTGGGTTGGGGATGGGGGCAGAGGAACATTCACAATCTGCATTTGGAAGATGACATCTGGAACTAAAGGCAATAATGAGGTAAAAGAGAAAACTACTCTAAAAGCTTGAAACCTATGTCGTCTTCTGCCAGTGGATCTGAGCATTGATATACTGGTTAACAAATCCTCTAAAATGCAGCAAGTTTTTTAACCAAGCAGACAGACTGTGACCTCTGGACTTCAGTTCATGGCTGTGGGGTTTGTAAAAGGCAGACCTGACACAACAGTTTCAGTGGCTGTAGGGAAAGGAAGCAGACTCTGGGCTGAGGCTTGAAGAGGAGGTAAGCATGAGGGGAGGAAGTACAAAGTGCAGAGCATTTGCTCAAGAAGACATGAAGGGGATAAAGGAAAAGCAAATGACAAGGGGAGGACATGGAGTTAATATGTAGTGTTTGAAAGACAGAAAAGGTTTGAGTGTGTTTATGTCCTGAGGATAAAGATCCAGCACAGAGGAAGTGATTGAGGCTAAAGGTGAGAAAGGCAATAGTCAATGAGAAGGTAGAGCCAGGGTAAAGCATACAGGCTTCAGAGACAGATTTCCTGGTTTGATTCCTGCTTTTACTGAGTCCTAGCTATGTGATCTTGAGAAAGTCACCTAACCTCCCTGTGCCTTAGTATCTGTTCTGTAAAATGAGGATATTGATGGAGCCTACCATAGAGTTTATGAGAACTAAATAGTAAAGCAATGAGAACAATGCCTGGCACACCATAGTGAAGTTTTCAGACATTGTTGGAAATGTGTTATCAAGCTGATTAGTGAAACAGTACTACTGTTGACCAGAGCTGGCGGCCCAGTTGGAGGCCGTGAATGTTTCATGATACCAATCTGTTCAGGAGTGAGAGTGTTTCCTTCAAGGCTTAGAGACCCACAGTCAGGCATGAACTCTGTAGAGGCTTGGATTTGTCTGTGATTGGGGTTTTACTATCATTTGAGATGGAAGGACATACAGTAAAAAACAGGCATGTTGATAAGAGGGTGCTTAATAAAATGGATCAACGCTGAAATAATTTATACTAAAGCATCAAGCACAGTGCCTGATATATTGTAGACTTTCAATCAATCATTCACTCATTTTTGTTTGTTGCTATTGATTGCTGGGATGGTTGGTGAATAAATTGATAAAATCAAAGAGCTAATACAGAAAACAATAAATGTATGCAATGTGAGTGTTGAAAAACAGTCTACTGTTAGGCAGAAATTCTCTTCGGAGGATATGTGAAAGGGTTTTGACGTAATGAAATGTTATTAGGTCTCTGCTATTCCTTATTCAATACTGGATGTGCACAAACAGCAGTACCAATGGGCCAAGAGCATCCCACAATTTGTTGTTCTGGCGACAGCCTCTCTTTTGTGGCTTGGGCCTGAGTCAGAACTTTTTAGGATACAGCATCAGGGCCTCTTTCACCACCTGCTTCATGGAAATTGAATCCATGGGAGGCTCCTCTTGGCAAAGCTGAGCCGGGCTCTTGGCCTGACTGGAAAGCCTATCTTTGGTCTGTCTGGCTGTGAGAGTTTGACCCAGTGTGGGTAGGTGATGAAGCAGGAGCCCCTGGGCTTGACTGTGACTCTGGCCAAGTGTTTGACTTTAGGCCTGGAGAAAGGCACTCATGTTTGCTGGGAACCTGTTATGTGCTCATCCCTTTGGCAGGCATTTGCCAAGTGTCACCTTCTTTTATGCTCACATCAACTCTGGCAGGTCAGTGTTAGGTAAGACTTCCAACCTTCTTAGCCTTGGGTTCTTCATCTGTCAATGGAGGACATAAGACATCAGTGGTCTTCAGACTCACCTCCATGGATTCTGGGGTTTCTTTGGAGATGCCATGGGAGTTACCAAGGGTGGAGTTACCAGGGGACCAGGGAAGTGGAACTTAGTCTTCGGTTTTCCCATCTTTGGTCTGCTCTATAGACTGGAGTTCACTGTACACTTTTGTTTAAAGAATGGCTTCCAAGTTTAAAAACTTCACAAAGCACTGGCCTCTATGATCCCTAAACTGTCTCCTGTGACTGATTACTGGCTCTTCTGCTAGTGCCTTGTGTTGGTACTTCCCCTCTCTGCACCTCAGTTCCCCCATCTGTAGAATGAGAAGTTCTGGGGCTAGGTCTCCATGATACTGGGAGTGGAGTGGGTGTTAACTGCTTGGGTTAACTGAGCCCCATTTGGCTGGCACACTGGAAGGGCCAGTGATCTTAAAGGATGATCTGCCCATCTGTCCTGCTTCATGGGCACCAAGAACCTGTGGCTCAGATCCAGGACTCGTGCAGCTCCACTTGTCAGCAGCAAGTCACATTGCTTCTTCCTATTTCCTCTTTCCTCTAGGGACTCATGAAGTGGCAGCTAAGCCCTGTCCAGTGGCCACCCGTCAACCAAGGGCCAGAGACCAGGAAAGGAGGAAAGGCAGCTTCACTTCCTCTTTGAGGATGGAGTCACACAGCCGCACGGGAAAGAGCAGAAAATCCACAAAATTTCGGTCCATCTCCAGGTCCCTGATTCTCTGTAATGCTAAGACCAGTGATGATGGCTCTAGCCCTGATGAGAAATATCCTGATCCCTTTGAGATTTCCTTGGCCCAGGGCAAGGAGGAAATTTTCCACTCATCTGCGCAGCTGGCAGACACATCGGAGGCTGGGCCCAGCAGCATTCCTGATCTAGCACTGGCCTCTGAGGCTGCTCAACTCCAAGTAGCCGGGAATGATCGAGGCAAGACCTGTAGGAGGATATTCTTCATGAAGGTATGCCTAGGCTTTGCAGGCCTGAAAGAGCCTGCAGTTGGTTTCTGGTGCTGTGAATTAAAGTATTTGAATCCATTTATTCAAAAATCAGGAAGCTGCAGAGTTGTAATTCTGAAAGAGAGCAAGGAAAAAGTTGAGGTAGGGCCCACTGGAACTATAACAATGAGCATGGGAGTGAATCAGGCTCAGTTAACACTCTTGCTTGAGAGGTTCAGGGAAGCACTATTTCACTCTAAGGTAAACTGAGCCTAGATCCGTGATGGAAAATGCCAGATGCAGTAGTCAATACACTGGGAAGCTCTCATCTCTAGACAGGTACTATAGAACATACCATAGGCAGGTCAAATCACATCTTTCTTGTAGACTTGTAGAAACAGACTTACAGGGCCTGGGCAGATGAGGAGGCCTTTTGGCAAGCAAGGTACAGGGTGCCAGATGAGTGAGTTTGTTCCCTGAATGCTGACTGTGAACATTTTCCAGGTGCCCGCTCCCATTTTCAACATAGGTGTAGATGCTGAAGATGGCAAGTGTAGCCATCAATAAGGGAGCGGGAAATAAGCAGTGTTTGGGGACCTGCCAGAATTCAGAATGTTTTCCTTTCTGTTATATCATATTTCAATTTTTGTCATCATAATGAGATGGAGATTGCAGAACAGCAGAAATCTAGACTGATTAAAAGATTTTGATGTCAAACTATTCACTATCAAGTGCTGTGCCTTCTGTGAAAGGTGAGATTTCTCAAGGGTCCAAATGGCCCTGAACCATGGGGTCAGTGCTGCCAACTCAGTGATGAGCCAACGTAGAGACATTTCTCCTATAGCCTACTGCCAGGCTATGAATATAAATAGGGAAGGCATTCTAGTACCTTTGAAAGGGGTCTGTCACGTCTGTACAGCTTGCCTTCTTCAGGAGGGAAATCACTATTTAATATACATAATGAACAACATTTCTGTTAAGGGCCTTAAGGATTGCACAGCATCCTTAAGGGCCTCACCCAGCCCAGTGTGCTCTATAACCCATGATATGACTTCTGTTAATATGTCCTGCACTCACTTAATAGGGTAGAAGGAGAAGCCAGCAGCCCAGTGGGTTTGGGGGAGGCTCACCAGGCTCCCAGGCTGCCATTAATGATGTGAAAAAATCCAATCCACCAACTGAGAGTCAAATTTATTAGTGACATTGTGAATGTATCTAGATTAGCACTTACCTAAATGAAATTCAAAAATTATTTCAAGACCTCAGCAGAATTCTAGAATGGATTATTCACACGCTTCCATTTAATATCATAGGTATTTCCTGGGCACCTATTATCTGCAAGGCACGGTGGGGGTCCAGTCTCTGCCCTGAAATAACTTACTTAAAATAGAGTAAAAAATACAGTACAAGATGGGTGTAGGAGGGCTGTGGGAAGCTCAAAGGAAAAAGGGAGCACATCTCTGGGGGTGCTGTCATTCCTTCCTTCATTCAGTAAATACTTAAGCCAGGCATGGGAGTGAGCAAAACAGACCCAGTCCTTGCCCTGTTGCAACTTTTATTCTGATTTGGGGATACAGATAATAACAACTTGATATATAATATTATATTAAATACTGAAGGACTATGAAGAAATATTAAGCAGGATAAGGGGATAGAGAGTGATGAGGAGGGGTTACTGCTTTTTTTTTTTTGGAAAAGGTAATCACAAAGCCTTCCCTAAAGATGTGACATTTTGGCAAGGACCTGAATGAAGTGGAGGGGTGTGTCACATGACCACCTGGGGAAGGGCATTCCAGGCAGTGGGAACAGCATGTGCAAAGACAGGAAGCAAGAATGTGCTTGGGAGCATCAAGGAGACCAGTATGCCTGGGGTAAAGAGGAAAGAGGAGGATGGTAGAAGACCAAGTTGAGGTGGCAGCCAGGGACCGGAACAAGGGCTGTGGCAAGGACTTGGAATTTTATTCTACGAAGGATGGGAAGCCATTGGAGGATTTTGAGTAGGAAAGTGACATGCTCAGATTGGTGCTTTAAAAGGAGCACTCTGACTACTGAGTGGAGAATGGAGTGAAACCAGTTGCGGGGACTGCAGCAATAACCCAGGCCAGAAATGATGTGACTTGGACTGAGGTGGTGTGGGTAGAGGCACTGAGAATGGCCAAGGTAGGGATTTGTTGATGCAGGGATGTAGCATGTGAGAGAATGAGAGAAGTAAACTTCAACTGCAAGTTTCAGCCTGAGAACCTGGGGGTAGAAGTTTCAGCTTGAGCACCTGGGGGTAGTAGTGGAAGGAGGTGCCCTGTCCCAACCTGCAAAACAGGAGAGGCTGGAAAAATAGTCAGGAAAATGGTGAGTTGTGCTCTTAAGGGTGCGCAATTATATTAAGCAGGGGTGGATGGGAGAGAATTCCAGGTGAAGGGACATGCGTCTGCAAAGACAGGAGAGGAGAAGTCTGAATGCTTATGCTGGGGCCTCTGGGCACAGGTGAGCACGTCTGTCACTCTGTCCTTGTACCTATTCCACGGCAGGAGACCAGATACTTGGGAATGGCTAGATGGCACGGGGAAGCAGTGGGCATGGGGAGGGACCTGGGCAGGGGAAAGAACAAACTTCACCTTTTCATCTCTTTGTGATTCACATGTGCACCACTTTTTTTTTTTTTTTTTGAGACGGAGTCTTGCTCTGTCACCCAGGCTAGAGTGCAGTGGCGCGATCTCAGCTCACTGCAACCTCTGCCTCCTGGATTCAAGCGATTCTCCTGCCTCAGCCTCCAGAGTAGCTGGGACTACAGGAGCCTGCCACTATGCCCAGCTAAGTTTTAAAAATATTTTTAGTAGAGATGGGGTTTCACCATGTTGGCTGAGCTGGTTTCAAACTCCTGACCTCAAGTGATCTGCCCGCATTGGCCTCCCAAAGTGCTTGGATTACTGGCATAAGCCACCACACCCGGTCCGTATTTTGGTTTTAAAAATGTTTTCACAACTCTTATCTCATTGTCTTACTTTCCCCCAAACCTTGGGAGGAAGGTAGTAGAATATGTTAATGATGCATATTATCAAATATACATATATTAATATAATAATAGCAGTATTACTATTTCTGAAGGGCAATATGGCACAGGGGTTAGTGGTGTGGGCTCATTAATCTCACTGCCTAGGTTGTTTCTCAGTGACTAGCTGTGTAATCCTAGGCAATCCGCTTTACCTCTCTGTGCCTCAGTTTTCTCACCTGTTAAATGGAGAATGTTAAAAATAGTATATACCTCATATGGATTTTATAAGGATAATATTATAGACACTTACATGAGAAAATTCACCTAAAACAGAACAGTGCGCACAGTAATTGCTTGATAGATATTATGATGATTATTATTTCTATTTTAGCATGAGGGCACTAATTCTGAGGAATTAAGCACTCAATGAATTCAATCACATTTATGGAGTCCCTTCAATGTGCTAGACAGTGTGCAAGAGTTATAGTTGATGGTGTTCAGAGGATAATGATGGAGACAGGGACAAACCAGATCATTCTTATCTTTGATGTGGCCAAAGTGCAGGCACAGACATGTCAGGGAAATCACGGGTACACTGGAGAGGGCAGACAGTGTGGGGAGGGGCGTCCTGGGGGAGGTGGCTGTTGAAAGCAGGATATTCCAGGAAACCAGTCTGGATGGTGGTAAGAGGTGGGAATGGGCAGAGGGATATGGGCTTGTAGGAGCTCACAGGGGCTTGGAAGAATTTGCCGGGAGTGGCGGAAGAGGTGATGAGCACAGTGGAGTCAAGTTTGAGGCAGGGATGAACTGGGACAACAGAGAGGGGCGTTGTCCGGTTCAGAACCTGAGATCTCTTGTTCTTTTTTTTAAGGAGCACAAGTGATCCTTAAAGATCCAAGAGTGAATTCTAAGCAAGGGAGGGTTTCATTTGTCTAAGCAAGTCCTGCGATCAAAGGTGCCAGGTCAGCAAGGTCAAAGGCGACAGCAGGTCTCCTCATATCCTTTCTGGAGAAGCTCAGAGTACTCAATAGCCCACTCACTTCTCCCTTCTCACAGGGACACTTTAGTCCATGCCCTGACTGCCTCCCTCCCTGCCTACCCTCATCAGAGTGGCCCTGCACCCAGACGTGACTCAATTGGCCCAGATGAACTCTGCAGGTTCCAGCAATGCCATGGTTACACTGATTTCAAAACAACATCTGGAATGAGGCTCTGTGACGTTAGCCTCTCCTCTGGAAACGCCTAATATAAAAATTAAAGAAGAGGAAGTTATATAAACAGCCAACCTTTTTTTTTTTTTAAGCCTTATTGGATGGGTTGTATTTGGCCCAGACAAGACTGGTAAATTAATGCCCCAGGATGTGCCAAAGTGGGGCATGGACATGAAGAATTCGAACTAATTACTCATTTGTATCTGTATTGTGCATTAAAGTACTGATTAGGGCTTTTTGCTCTGGGGGAGCTTCTAGACCCCAGAAGATGAATTCAAATGGAAGAATGTCAAAAGGTGGCCTTCCCAAGTTAACAAACAAAAAAAAATACAGTTTATCCGACTTAGAACTTTGAAAGAAGGAATACAGGGACTCACTGGCTACTCCAGCCCCTGTCTGTTTTCAAATGGGAAGAGTATTTTTAAATGCCCTTTAAGTAGGTTGTTAAGGCCAAATGGAAGGCAGCTCAGTTAGAGGGAATGAAAGCTCAAACTCTCCCTCTCCTCTTTCCTCTCTTCCTTCTCCTTGCTTCCTTATTTCTTTTTTTTCAGACATTGGCAGGCACCTGGTATGTGCTATCCTCTGGAGATAAAGAAATAGATTTGATATTATACCCTCAGGAAACTTGCAGTCTAGAGAAGGGGGCAGGTGTAAGCATAGTTAATCCTGTCCCTTGTGTCTTCCCCAACCTGAATGGCATTCCTTGCTCAGTTTTCTTAAGGAAAGGACTCATCCAGAGAATGAGTAATGGAAGAATTATATCCTACAAAGAGACTTCTAGGTTACCTCTCATTTCCCTGGAACATTCCACAATAGTAGGATTT